TACGCTATAGGAGGGGGGGGGACGGGGGGCTATAATGCCCATTATGCCCCAAGGCATAAAGAAACACGCTCCACCACGTCAGCGTGCACGGCAACTTGCAGCACCCAGCTTCCAGTGAAAAATTATCCTGGCGAAAGACCCAACCATAAGCAATTGTTGGTAACGCGTTGTGGGTGCCGCTTTCGGTGGGGCTCCCTATGGGGCCACGAAGCGCTGCCTTGGATGGGGGGCATGCGAAGCTATGGGGCGAATGGGGAACCGCATGCGGACTGCGCCACCGGGGCGGGCCTTCGGTGGAGCTCCCTATGGGGCTACGAAACGCTGCCCTGGGTGGGGGAACCGCATGCGAACTGCGCCACTGGGGCCTTCGGTGGAGCTCCCTATGGTGCCACGAAACGCTGCCCTGGGTGGGGGAAGCGCATGCGAACTGCGCCACTGGGGCTTTCGGTGGAGCTCCCTATGGGGCCACGAAGCGCTGCCCTGGGTGGGGGAACCGCATGCGAACACCCCCACTGGGGCCTTCGGTGGAGCTCCCTATGGGGCCACGAAACGCTGCCCTGGGTGGGGGAACCGCATGCGAACACCCCCACTGGGGCCTTCGGTGGAGCTCCCTATGGGGCCACGAAACGCTGCCCTGGGTGGGGGAACCGCATGCGAACACCCCCACTGGGGCCTTCGGTGGAGCTCCCTATGGGGCTACGAAACGCTGCCCTGGGTGGGGGAACCGCATGCGAACACCCCCACTGGGGCCTTCGGTGGAGCTCCCTATGGGGCCACGAAACGCTGCCCTGGGTGGGGGAACCGCATGCGAACACCCCCACTGGGGCCTTCGGTGGAGCTCCCTATGGGGCCACGAAACGCTGCCCTGGGTGGGGGAACCGCATGCGAACACCCCCACTGGGGCCTTCGGTGGAGCTCCCTATGGGGCCACGAAACGCTGCCCTGGGTGGGGGAACCGCATGCGAACACCCCCACTGGGGCCTTCGGTGGAGCTCCCTATGGGGCTACGAAACGCTGCCCTGGGTGGGGGAACCGCATGCGAACACCCCCACTGGGGCCTTCGGTGGAGCTCCCTATGGGGCCACGAAACGCTGCCCTGGGTGGGGGAACCGCATGCGAACACCCCCACTGGGGCCTTCGGTGGAGCTCCCTATGGGGCCACGAAACGCTGCCCTGGGTGGGGGAACCGCATGCGAACACCCCCACTGGGGCCTTCGGTGGAGCTCCCTATGGGGCTACGAAACGCTGCCCTGGGTGGGGGAACCGCATGCGAACACCCCCACTGGGGCCTTCGGTGGAGCTCCCTATGGGGCCACGAAACGCTGCCCTGGGTGGGGGAACCGCATGCGAACACCCCCACTGGGGCCTTCGGTGGAGCTCCCTATGGGGCTACGAAACGCTGCCCTGGGTGGGGGAACCGCATGCGAACACCCCCACTGGGGCCTTCGGTGGAGCTCCCTATGGGGCCACGAAACGCTGCCCTGGGTGGGGGAACCGCATGCGAACACCCCCACTGGGGCCTTCGGTGGAGCTCCCTATGGGGCTACGAAACGCTGCCCTGGGTGGGGGAACCGCATGCGAACACCCCCACTGGGGCCTTCGGTGGAGCTCCCTATGGGGCCACGAAACGCTGCCCTGGGTGGGGGAACCGCATGCGAACACCCCCACTGGGGCCTTCGGTGGAGCTCCCTATGGGGCTACGAAACGCGTGAGAGGTGTGCCGAGAGCAGAGGCAAGGAGGGGGAGGAGGGAGGAGGAGAGGAAGGAGAGGAACGCGGGGCACCGTCTCTTCAAAACGAGGACCCAACACCACAGGATGGTTGGGAAAAAGACTGGGTGGGGTCTGCGCTGACATGCTTGAACTATTATGCCGCTTGCTCCAGATCTCACCATAAACAAGGGGTTGCGTGATTGCGGGGGGGGGATCTGATGTGAGCTGTCTTGGAGTGTTCCAGGGGGTTTTGGGCAAAAGGCATCCCAGGCATCCCTGCAATGGCTGGTCCGGGGATGAGGAGGAGGGACGGAGGGGAGGGAGGGAGGGAAGGAGGAGGGAGGAGGAGCGAGGGAGGGAGGCAGGGAGGGGGGAGGAGGAGGAGGGAGGGAGGAAGGGAGGAGGGAGGGAGGGAGGACACCGACAGGACACCACGGCGGGACACCGTGGCGGGAGCTCGGCCACGCCGGCCCTCAGGAGGGGCGGTCTTTTGTCTTGACCGCAGCGGAATACTTCCTCGCGCCTGCCCACGCAGCTTCGCCGCGCCCGCACGCACGAGACGAACCCTAAACCGAAACCGATTTCCCGTTTGGGGGTTCCCCGTTACACTTCGATCTCACCCCCCGACCTCCGATGATCTGAACCACTCTGTGAAGACGCCCCACAGCCCGTGGCCTACCCCTCAGCCCCACCCAGCAGAACCAAATAAACGACATCACGAAATACAACGACACCGTGGCACCACGGCGCAACAGCACTGGGACACCTGGGTACCCCACGACACCCCACAACGGTAGTGGGACACGAAAACACCCCTCGACACCAAACGCACCACACCCGCCGCCGCCCACCATCCACCTCAACAACCTGCTGAACTCGAGATCAGATCTGCACGCTGCGAGTGATTGGCCAGACAGATGGCGTTTGCGTGATTTGGGTGAGTTGATGTTTGTCTCGTCTCTCCTCCCCCTCCCAACCCTTCTGCTTACAAATAACTCCTCCGTGTCGCACCTCGTGGCCGATCGAAAGAGAGGGTCGGGCAGTTCGCCTGAGACATCCTCACTATCTATGATTCTGAAGCTTCGAGGTTGCAAGAGCTCCACAAATGGAGGGCGGCTCATTTTCAAAATGTTGCTCTTGCCTTCGCGCTGCGCACAATCGTCTTAAGACCTGCATGACTTCACGAACGGAGGACGGTCCGTCTTCATAATGTGGCTCTCGTCGTAGCGCCGCGCGCATTCGTCTGAAAAGCGCGCAGAAGTTTCACGGATGGATGGCGGTCCGTTTTCAGTATATGGCTCTGACTATGGCGCTTGGCTTGGCGCATTCGTCTTAAAACCTTGCAAGAGTTTCGCGGCTGGAGGGCCGCTCCTGTTCAGAAAGTGACCCTCGCCCTGGTGGCGCGCACAATCGTCTGAAAGCTTGACAACTATTCAAGGACGGAGGGCGGTTCCTTTTCAAAATGCGGTTCTCGCTTCAGCGACGCGCACATTATTTTCGAGTGGTTGCAAGAGTTTCGAAGCTTACCATGGCTCATGTCCCAGAAGTGTTGTTTTCGCACGATGTCGGAAGTCAAGTCGCAACAGTCACCTTGATCCGCGGTGTTGAAGTCCCAAGACAAATTTTCTGGCGCAGTTCAGGATCATCAAGAAGCAGCAGGAGCGGTGATTCGCGGCGTCGATGTCCAAAACGTTCTATTCTGGCACAAATCTTGATGTTCAAACTGTTGTCTTCCAACGAAGCCTTCCCTCAATGGAAAGGAATCCGCGTGGGGGCCTATGAGAAAGGAACTTGGAGGAGGGTGTATCGCAATGTCGTTGATGGGTCTTGGGTCTCCTCCTCCCCTGCTTGACACGCGGAACCGATTCCGATACAGCACGCTAATATTGTGAACATTTTGGCGACTGACTGTGTGACCTGATCGCGCTCCGTCCGGACGCAAAGCATTCTAACTGTCAAGCGCGGCACAAATCATAACATTATTTCTCGTGGAGCGATCCCAAACGAAATCTTCGGCGTGTGTTCCAAATGATGCGCGCGTCGCAATTGAACTGTTATGGAATGCCATGTGCTTTGATGCTGTGTTACGGTGTGATCTGTGCTGTAGTGGTGTGTCATGGTACGGTATGTTATGTCATGGTATGCCATATGCTGCTACCGTACGTAATGATCTGAGGTGTGGTGTTGTGTTATTTTCTATAGAATCCAGTGTGCCATAGCTTGTTGCAATATGCTATGGAATGTTCTGCTTTGGTGTAACATCATATGCCGAAATGTCATGTTATGGTTGGCAAATGAGCACGGATGATATATCACACATCCTATGTGTGTTGATGCTATGTATGTTGTGATGTGTTATGCAATGGTATGTTACGCTATGCTGTGTTCAACCATGATATGGCATGTCATGCTATGGTATGTGATGGTCTCTTTGGGGCGATCCGGAATGTCATATCATGCGTTGTTCTGCTGTGGTGTGCTATGGAAGGTTATGCTATTCCATGAGAGGCTGTGGCATGTTCTGTGTTGGTCGGTTCAGCTCTGCGAAGTGTTCCCACGGTAGGCTTACTTTGTCATGTTAAGTAATGCTTTGTGCTGGGATGAGGTGCTATGGTATGAATTGCTGTGTCATGGTGTGCAATGATACGAATTGTTCTGCCAATATGTGGCATATTACGCTCGGAAATGTTACGTTAGGTGGTGTAGTGTTACGCTCTGTTGGCATCGCATAAAATGTTGTGCTGTACAATGCTCTGCTATGTTAGAATACCGCTCAGTCACGTGATGTTTTGTCGGTGGGGACGCTCGGGGGACCTGGGAAACTGGCGGCCGGGGCGTGCAGACTGGCGCAAGACGGGAACAGTCGAGGGGCCTGGGAAACTGGCGGCCGCGGTGTGCAGAGTGGCGCAAGGCGTGACACTCGGGGACACTCGGGAGACACGGGGATCCGGCGGCGGCGGTATGCAGAGTGGCGCAAGGCGGGATTATCGGGGACACTCAGGGGACCTGGGGATCTGGCGGCCGCGGTTTGCAGAGTGACGCGAAGCGGGACTCTCGGGGACAACCCCAAGTCCGGGGCCTCGTTATGCAATCTGGCGTGAGGCGGGACTCTCGGGGGCACTCGGGGGACCTGCGGATCTGGCGGCCGCTATCTGCAGAGTAGACGAGTCGAGAGGTCTGATCTTAAAACTCTAGACTTCACCCTTTCGGGTGGGGGGTAAGCTCCACATGCACCCAAATTCCAATCAACAATCATATTTGTGTCACCGTGCAAATTGAAAGATGGGCTTCAATATTCCCTGTTGGGACGAGAGGAGTCGGACCTACGTTTGTATGGCCCTATCAGATGGTCTACAAAAGTTCGCTCGAAGTGCACTCCCTTGCCATGTCGTGTGGGAAACACTGCTCCCGCAGGAATTATTTTACCAGTTTCCATGCACAACTGGTTTGGGCCTCTGCTGCGATGTAACCTCTTACTCTTTGATTGTTTCTTGGGTTCGTCAGGAGGCTGCCAACTTTCCGAGATACCGACGTAGAGCACCGTACCCTGATTCGGACATTTATGGGACACGTGGAACAGATGAGCTTGAACAGGCAAGTTGTAGCTGTCCTGCAAGTTGACTCGTATGGACTGCAATTGTACCGATCCTGGCTGCCAGCTGCTTTCATCCAGCAATGACGCGACTCGGTCGCGGTGATCTGCTACGTCACTCAGATGTATCCGCCACCGCGCCCCCTGGCACGCCGAGGCGCGTTAGAATGCCAAGGGCCGCCTGGTAAGGTGTACGTGTTTTTTTAAGCCCCTCTTCTCATCTCACGCTGCTGCATGCCCTCCCATTCAAAAACCACGATCGCTTCCGAAACAAATAGCCCGCGCTCCCCAAGCCACGACCCCTTGAGAAGATACGGGCCCGCGGTGCCGAGTATCCAGGACGACCGAAGCAGACAATCCAGTCTGCCAAGTTGGTCCAAGATGCCTCCAAGACTGCTGCCAAAGATGGCCTCATCATGGCCCACGATGCCCGCATGAGGGCCCAATCGGGGGACGAACGGACCTTCAATACGACCTGAGGCGGCCCTGCGAAGCCAAAAACGGCTCAACAAGGACCCTGAGACACCCACCAAATGGTCGAGCGAGCGAACCACGCGAGCATGCCTGTCGGCTGCTCGGCCCTGCGCAGGGCATGGGTGTACAATTCGTGTACCAGCCAGACAACATATATAAAACGTTGGCAGAATGTGGGGTTGGGAATTCGGAAAATTTCAACAGATAGGGGGGGCAACGGAGGAAGGAGGGGGGAAGGGGGGGGGAGGAGGAGGGAGTTGCATCACAACTTCGTCATGCAGAACTTGATGTACTGCTCCTCCCTGCCCGGCGTCTGCAGCGCCTGTCCCAGAGAATCTGCCCCGACTTGCGTGTAGAACTGTTTGGAGTCATCCATCCATTGCAGCGGTGGTCTGCCTCGTGCTCGCTTGTGAGCAGACTGCAGATGTCGAAGAACAAGTGCCCATTTCCCGACTCCTCCACAGCAGAGCCGGCGAGCCAGCCGCCACCTCAAAGAGAAAATCTTCTCCGACACGTATGGGGAGGGCGCCGTGGACAGCGTGTTCGACACGCGCATCTGCAACCTGCGCACCGTGTCCTGCCAGCTCACACCTTCCGCTCTCCTCCAGCCAGCCATATTTCGGAGCATCTTTGTCCGCGCTCCCCGGAGCATGTCGCGGTGCTGCGGCTTCAGCGCCAGGCCGGCCACCCCGTGCAACAGGACTGACAAGACCGTGGAGTTGAGGAGCTCAACGTGATGCCCGGCGCCGACATGCTGGCTCATCAGAATTTGGCGTTTTCTTTGAAACTGGTGCCATGCCGCTGATATCCTCCTCTCGACGGCACGTATTGCCCCGTTCTTTGACAAATTGAAGGCGCTCCCCAAATGTGCGCAAGATTCGCCTGGGGACAGCGTGTGAAAAATGCGGCCTGCAACCCATGCGATGTTGCAAGTGCCGGGTGGCGCACCAACGTCTCTGGGGGGGTGAGATATTCAGTTGCAGCCCTACGGCCTGGAATTCCTCAATAAAGAGCGAGAGCATGATTCGGGCGTCCTCCAGCGAGCGGGCATAAAGCAAAACATCGTCTGCGAACCGGACGTTTGCGAAGCGCTCTGCCTGTCCTTGGAATTCCCACCCGTGCGTTGCGAGGCGGCCCTTCCATCTGTCGAACACCATCTCCAGTACTGCGTTGAATAAACACGGACTCAAGACGTCGCCCTGGCGAACGCCCCTGAAGCACTGAAAGACGTCGCTCGTGCCAACATGGCCTGTCTGTCCCCAACGCAGCTCCTTCAATGAGGAAGCGTGCGCCCCATCTACACACTTGCTGCAATATTGCTTCGATAACCGATTCGTGGGGGACTTTGTCCAACGCCTTGCTGAGGCCCAGGCTTGAACGCGTGGGCAAATCCCACCACGTGCTCCACGCAGCGCAGGGCCTCCTCGGCGCCGAAGCCAGGCCGGCACGCACATTGATGTTCCCCCTGCGCCGCTTCCAGCCTCGGCGAGATCCTCGACAAAACCATTGTTGGCAATAATCCTGTAGAATACCCTTTGCACTGCGATTGGGCGCCAAGTTGAAGCTTTCGACGCGTTTCCCAGCTTAGGCAGCATTGTTAAAGCTGTATGCAGCCACTCTTTCGGAAAAGCCCCATCGTTCAGACGTTTGCTGTACTGATCAAGAATGAGCTTCTTAGCTCGCGGAGGTACATGTGAAATGTGCTCTAACGCAATCCCCTTCGGAGTCCGCGGCCTGGTCATGCGCCAGCTGTCTCGAGGCCGCCCTGAATTCTGCCGTGCTGAACGGGGGGGCGACGCGGAGAGTCGAGTGCACGTCGGCGAGAGCTCGCGCAAGCTCCCCGTCGCATGGCCGCTTGGCAGGAATCCCCCGCTCAACTGGAGCGCGACATAAAACGTCCAAGCGGTATAAACCTTGAAACCCCGACAAAATATTCGCGGCCTGTCGAGTCTTCCAAACGCGAACCCCTTTCCGAAGTACCCGCTTCCAGCGCCAATGCAAGGCATTCCTCTTGAAAGGGCCCCTGTCCTGACCCTGGTCTCTCTTCGCCTGCGGGGCATCATCTGAATTTTAAGGGTTTGGGGTCGTCGCTGTCTGCGTTTGCAAGTGTTCCCCTGCTGAAGAGCGGATGGCGTAATCTATATCGGCGAAATTGTTACAAGTATGTCGTTAGGCCCAGAAGTCCACTCACTCTGTGTATCGCTGGATGTCTTGGCCAAGCGCATCATACCATTTATATCGAGAGCTCCTCTGTCTGCTTCTCCATAGTCTGGCCATTTTGGCCTCTGCGGTAACCAAAAAAGGCACGATGGTCTGACCCAAGGTCAAGAAAATGTGCGCTGCCACTCGTAATGCATCTGGCATGCGAGCCGATGAGGATGTAGTCGATAAGACGGTATCTCCCCAGATTGCTTCGAAACGACCAGTTCCCATAATTGTGGCAGAATGACAGCTTCCCCCTCGAGGCAAAATCGAGCAGCAGAGCCCCCCCAACTGGCGAACGCAGCGCTGTTGGGAAATCGCCTCCGACGACGAAAATTCGTAGTGTCCGGCAGCGGGCGGACAGCTGCTCGTAGATTGCGTCCACGGACATGGCGGGGCAGCCGGCATGCGGAAGGTGCACTGCGATTGCTCTACACGCTTCTCCGTGCAGCTCCAAATCGACGTGCATGACCCGGTCGCTGATGTCAACATATACGTGCTTGCCGGGGTGTCTGGCGTTGACGAGGACATCAGCGCCTGTGGCATCGTGGCCTTTGCCGCTTGTGCAAAGCGTGTGCCCTCCAGCGATTTCACGCGAGCGTCTCGGAGCTCTCGTTTCCGAGAAGAGAATAACATCCCAATTCATAGTGTCTCATTCTGGAACTACCTCCTGCAATCTTTCATCGGATCCAATGCGGGCTTTTTTTACCAATATGACCCGAGAGTGTTTGCCGGAGTCTAAGTTGAATCATGTGTCTGGCTGGAGTTGTCCCCAGTGGCCGGCGCCTGCAGAGGCGCTCGAAGAGTGGCCCGTCGTTTCGCCTTTGGTCTTACCCTTGCCAAGGCCTTTCGTGGGAGTCTCGCTGTCATTGAGCTTCTTGTTGGAGGCAGCGACAAGGGCATCCTATTTTGGCACGCCGTGGAAGTACTCGCGCCACCCATCTTCGAAACACACTGACAGACTGCCCTCAGAAATCGAAGCCGTGAGAACCACGTCGGTTCCACGCCACAATGTATAGGTACCGGTATCAGCCCACAAAGCTGTCCTGTCCCAGCCTCCAAAATAAGGACGTTTTTGCTGGTGTACATTACGCTCCGGAGTACACGCGCGTTGACAGGGAAGTCCAACTTGGCGTACACGTTCTCGCCATCGTGCTCCAGGTTGGCCTCTTTGATCTTCTGTGCGATGGATTCGGCCTCCACTTGCGCGGCATATTTTGCAAACGGCTGATATTTGAACGACTGCCCGTTGAAGTACATATCAAGTGGCTCGTTGATGTATGCGTTCCAAAACTGATTTCGCAACCGTTCCCTGGCCACGTCCTCATGTGCAAATTTGCTCAGACCACCAATGAACACAATTGGATTCGATCCTGCCCGGGGGGTGATCAGAGCGGATACCCCATGAGAAGAACCAAGGGATCCTCGCAAGGAGGCAATGTCCTGTCTGATGCTGGCGATGTGATTCTCGAAGTTCTGGCGCATGTCGTGAAACCTTTTGTCTACTTCGCGCGCTTGCATTCCAATGCTGCTGGATAGCTCACCGTACTTCCCCTCAATATGATACACTTTCAAAGACAATGGGGCCAATTGTGCACTCAGCTTCTCGTCCAGGGTGTCGTTCAGGAGCTTTGCGATGCCGTCCATCGTGACGGGAGCGGGAGAAGCCCCCGGCGGCGTGTGAGGGCCATGGACGTGAAGTTCACGAGCAGCTCCACTGGCCTGAGGCTCGCCCGTGGCCCCATCCATCTCATTTAGTGGGCTGCTCAACGGGCTCTTCAAGCGGGCCCGCTTGTCCTCGTGGCCCTCACGAGACGCAATGATGTGCGACGCCACCTTTGCGTGAGAATCACCCCTCTCTGCGCCCAGGGGCGTTCACGGCGCCCTCGTACTCGGTGGCATTTTACCAACTGTCCCAGCGCGATGAGCAGAGAAGAGAAAAACAGATGATAGGGCGACGGCAGGATGTGAGGGAAAAAGAATGTAAGGGTATCGGATGTCAGCCGGGATGCTTACTGAGCCGGGATGCTTACTTGAGCCACAAAAATGGTACAAGGGAGTCCCACTACGGCCCAAGAGGGTCACTAGACCGCCCCAAGAGGACCCTACGGGACTCCGAAGGCTGCCCCACAGGAGCCCAATGCAGCCCTGAGACGGCCCAACATAAGCTCCATGAGAGCTCCTCAAGAGGTGAAAACGGAAGGAAGGTGCCACACGTGGTAGCACTCCTCTTCCTCCTCGTCCTGCTCCTCCTCGTCCTCCTCCTCCATCACCTCCTCCTCCTCCACCTCCTCCTCCTCCTCCTGATCATCAACCTCATCGTCCTCACCATCCTCCCCGTCCTCATCCTCCCCGTCGCTCTTCCGAGACTTGAGGACAGCACGCACCGCACGCGACGACCTCCGGTGCGCGCCCGGGCAACCGCCGCCCCGAAGGCCAGGCCAGCACGGTGGCGGGACGTGCCGCAGGCAGCTGGATAAATGATTCGAAGCTCTTCCCTTCGTCGGCTTTTCGGTCAAGAAGGGAAGTCAGGTCTGGCGACGGCTCTAACAGAGTGAGGTCAGGCCCCAGTGCAACCACAGCATCACAGAAGCAGTCGAGCAAACTCCTGGCCGTCGCCCTGGAAAGAACGGCCATGTGCCTCATCGTAGCGCTCAACGCCAACCTCATCTCAAATCCGCGCTGTTTCTGGGAGACAAAATCCATGCTGACCAAGCTGATCACGAACCCCACCGCAATACTCGGAAGGCCAACCTCCAAGTTCCCAGCGAAGCGGTAAACCGCGAGCAAATTATTTGCAACGAGAAAGGCCACATATACTAGCTGGCTGCCTCGCTGCCGCGCCAGCGACACTGGAAAAGCAAATAAACAGACGAGCTTCATAAACTCCTGCTCTGGGTGGAACACAATCCACAACATGTGAATGAAGATCCGAAGGACGGCGCCAGACATTTGAGCATGACCTGCCTGCTTAATTATATTAGCCCTGCGTGTGTCGAACGACATCAGTGCTGTTGGAGATGCTCCGATCAGTGTTAGAACGATAGAAGTCAGGCCAACCATCCGAGTTTCACATGACAGTGTCATCGAGGCAAGCAGAACTAAGAGAACAGGAACCCCATGGAGAAATTCCTTGCGTTCCTCACGGATGATGTTCACCTCCACGTCTTCCCAGCTCCCTGGGCCCTCGTCATGCTGACCGTCATATGCCATCAACACAACGGCAAGCAGGGCCGACTGCCAAAGAGTGCAGCGGCGGCGCTAGGCGCAGCTTCTTCATCCTGAGTGGCTTGAGCCTAGATGAGAAAAATGAAGATGGGAAAACAAGGAGACACACACACACCCCGCTACTCCCCAGAACTGTCCAGGGGTGCGATCTGACCAGAATCTCGAGGAGAATCCAGCCGTAACGACGAGGTGTCTCCAGGACGAGCAGCATGATCAGATCTTCCTCTTCCGAGTAAAGGGATGTCTCGAGCGGGAGGGCAAGCCTGGTGCATGCCCACCCCTCGATTCGGCGCAACATGTCAGGGCCCGATCGTCGTACCGGGCCTGGCCCCCGCAGGTCGCAAGGAGACAGACTGTCGCGCCCTCCGGGGCTCTGGCCGGAAAGGCCATACGCCCACCGCTCCTCCACGCGCCCCTCCAGCACCTCCGCCGCCTCCCCTTCCCCCTGGGTCGCCGCCCAACCCGGTGCCGTGCGCGCTCCGGAGACGCGGAGCGCCTGGGCCTCCCCAGCGGGGGGCCGCTGGAAATCTGAGGAATCCTTGAAGAAACCATATTTTAACACATGGGCAAGCATAGCGGGACGTGATCCAGGGTGGGGGAGAGGGAGAGGGCCGATCACGGCCTTCATTGCCCAGACCTTCGAAAGCAGACTGCAGGGTTATGGTCACGTGACTGACCATTCGGCAGTTATCAACTCGACTCGGTTGTCTGTTCAATACAGTTGTGATGTTTGATCCCCTCCCTGGGATTGTTCTACATCGCAGGGAGCGGGGTAGGTCAAGATCGCGTCCCTGTGACGCGCAAACAACAAAGTGACATACTGTCCCCCACAGGTTCCGTCCCGCCTTCGCACCTCTGGCGGACCGGCAGTATTCATATAGAATCAGTGTGGGCGAAGGGCAGAAAAAACAAACAATTGGTGGGGAGGAGCAAAGAGGGGATGATGGGAAAAGGGGTGGACAGGCGCGGGGCGAATGTGGGAGGCGGGACAAGGGTGGGGGGAGGGGCGGAGGGGCGAATGTGTTCGAGAGGGCGGGGGCCAAGTGGAAACGAGCAAGAGAAGGCGGTCGGTCGCCTGCGCCCGCAACCCGCGGGATCCTACTGTCGGTGGTGGTTTGCGCCCGCAGCTCCCGCTCTGGGTGCGGGGTGGCGCCCTGAGCCAAAAACAAAGACCCCACCTCGGGTCCTCGTTCTCCTCCCAACTGTTCTTCCTCCTCCTCCTCCTCATCCACCTCCTGCCCCATGCAACAAGGAAATGCTGTTTACCTGGGTTTGAAGCTCCACCGCTGCGGACATGGTGCATGATGCTACCTGCTCGCGCTGTGATATCCCAGCTGCCTGCTCTATACCACGCCTCGAACATATTGTAACCTGTGGAGAAGAACTGTCTGCTAGGTTCGTCTGGTAGGACCACTGCTAAGGCCCATCCTTCGGACGCATCCACAATAAAAAACGTTCACTGCAGAACTAGCTATACGACCACCCTTCGGGTGATAAGGAGGTTGTGGGGGGGGGAGGGGGGAACCAACATCTGACTCAATCGATCTCACTATCGATCTCATTCAAGGGGACACAACGGGACACCGCGGAGCACCCCTCGATCTCACCATCGGTCTCACTATCGATCTCACGACCGACCTCACTCAACGGGACACCATAGCACACCACGGGACACCTCGGGGCACCACATCGATCTCAGCATCGATCTCACGATCGATCTCATTCATAGGGACACCACGGGCCACCACGGGACACCTATCGATCCCACGATCGATCTCACGATCGATCTCACTTTCTGGATACCACGGGACACCACTGGACACCTCGGGGCACCACAGCGATCTCAGTATCGATCTCCCGTTCGATCCCACGATCGATCTCACGATCGATCTCACTCAACCAAGACACCACGGGACACCACGGGACACCACGGGACACCGCGGGACACCGCGAGCCACAGCCGGACGGACGGATGGAGGACGGGCGGGCGGGGGAGATTGATTTGTCTTGACTTCGCCATAGCAGCGGCGGACACCACGGGACACCAGGGGAGACCGCGGGACACCACGAGCCACCGCCGGACGGGCGGGCGGGCGGGGGATAATGATTTGTCTTGACTTCGCCCTAGCAACGGCGGACACCACGGGACACCACGGGACACCACGGGACACCACGAGCAACCGCCGGACGGGCGGCGGGGAGGGGATAATGATTTGTCTTGCTTTCGCCCTAGCAGCGGCGGATTCATTCCGCTCGCGCGCCCACGCAGCTTCGCCTCGCCCGCACGCACGACACGAACGAAAAGACACGAGTTCCCCGTTGGGGGTCTCCTTACCACTGCGACCTCACCCCCCCACCTTCGATAGCTGGCCTGAACCCGACATGGCAACATCAACGATCGACAACTTGTTGTTAGCTTGTATTTTGATCAAACCTGCCGGACTGGCCCGTTCGAGATGGCGACGGTGACCGTTCTGAGCGCTCGCCGGATGCCACCCTTTCGGCCACCTGCGCGCTACCACCCCTTTTGGTTTCGACGTCTATGACAGAGAGGGAGGTGTTTGTATCCTGTTTGGGTTTCAAATCGAAATGGGCGACCGCGCGAGCAAAACCAACGTCAATCCTGACATGGAATGCGGGTTGAATGAACTTTGCTCTTCTCGTCTTGCTCTGCTCGGAGTGGCCGGCGCGCGCGGTGCTGTCGGTCCCTGGCCTTCCTCGCCCAGCCCCGCCTGTTCACGAGAAATGCAAGTCCGCGCCCATCTGTGAAATGACGCCGCCGACCCGCGTGAAAGCTTGCAAACGTGATCCTGGATCGCTCCGGCCCCGGCATGCTGGGCGCTGCTGCGCCGACCTCCACGCCGAGCCACCTTGCGCCGCCAGCGCCCGCGTCGAATGGATTTGAAATCGATCGCTGTTCGCTGGGATTTGCATTTTCACGGGGCGAGGAGGAAAAGGAGGAAGAGGAGGAGGAGAAGGACGAGGAGGAGCAAGCGGAGGAGGAGGAGGAGGAGGAAGAGGAGGAGGAGGAAGACGAGGAGTAGGAGGAGGGGATTTTCACGGGGCTCTCAGACACGATGTGCAATGTGTCTTCGGTGTCGTACCTGGGGGCCTGCGCCTGGCCCGGCGACGACGACGTGGCCATCTCGTTCCGTCTCGCAGCAGCACGCGTCACAAACGCTGCAACCTGGGGCCCTGGAACACGCAAACCATACTTAGGATGTTCCGCTCTTGCCCAGTCAGCTCTCGTTTCCTACACCTGCCAGGGCGACCGAAAACTGCCGCCAACAAATAAGCATCGGGAAGCGACTTGCCGTTTCACCATTTCGGCAAACTGTCCTGCGGGCGCTCAAACGCATCGCGTTCGGCCCGGCCACACGCCATTCGTTGTCAGATGCGTTCGCCCAATTTTCGATCGATCGACCCAAGGGGACTTTGCCCGCCATGTCTATTACCCTGTTGTTTCATTCGTTTGAGCGTCGGAGGACCGCCGCGCTACGCGATGCAGTAATCATCATTTCTTGTATAGCCACCCCAACTGTGATGTTTGGGTTGTGGCGGCGGCTCTAATCTCATCGAGCTGCAATGAGGTGGCCCCTGTTTCACCTTTCTGCTTACACCGATGAGAATTGAAGAGGCTGAGCCGAACGCCTCGACTTGCAACGCCGCCGGCGCACGTTCCGTGCGAGACCCAATCTACAAAAAAGAGGCATCTTTAGACCAAGAGGGTTCAAGGCCCCCCTTCCGAGAATGCCGCGCCGCTCGCAGCGGGGCCAACCAGTTTGACGCGAGAAGAGAACGCTTCATTGCGCGCGTAATCTCACGCGCTGGAGGTGAAGAGAATATGAGAAAATGTCGGCATCCCTGGGTCGACCCTGGCAATCCGCCAACTCATGCTCGGATCACAGGGCGCGGCGACATTGCGCGGGGCATCGACGAGTCTCGGCGCTGCCCCGTTGCCGCGCGCCCGCGAACATAACCCGACGCAACGAAACCGGCGAGAAAACATGGGGGGACGCCGCGCGCCACATCGCATTCACCGCCCTTTTCCCGGGACGCCCCCCTGCGCGCAAAATGGTTGTTTGACTCCTCCCGCTCTTGCTTCCGTTTCTGCAGCTCCACTGCAGAGACGAATCACTCTGCCGCGCTCGATCCCCTGTCGTGCGCTGACGCACAAACGCCAAATGAAAACTAAATTTCTAACTGTACCTGGCCGTTATATCCCGCGCGGGTGCAATCTCTATCCCCAGTCAATCGTGCCTGTTTGCGTCGTCTCCTGTCAGCGAACACATCGGCGGAATCGTCGCGCTCAAATGTGCAGGTCGTTCCTGGCCCGGCCCCTCGCGGCAGCCTCGTGGCCGCGGGTTGCGTGGGCGCCCCATCTGTCGTCGCCGTTCCCGCGCCAACCATCAGCCTCATTGGAGAAAGCGACATTGCCGCGGCGTTTTCAGCCGCGCTGCCCGTTCGCGATAGATTTGCGCTCAGCGGTCGCGTGATTTCGCTCGCGATCAGCATGGCCCCATGTCTGCTGGGCCCAGTTCTGCAGGTCTCACCAATTTCGGTTCGCGCGGCCCTTTCTTTCGGGATGTGATTCCTGTTATGCTTGTCCTGCCACCGTCCTTTTGCAAACCGGATGATGAACCGATGCTCGTGCCTGCCAGCTCGCGCCCGTCTCCTCCGCCTGCTCTGCATTTTCCAACGCCGACGGCCTTTCCTCGGCCGGGCCCCCACTAAACGGGGGGGGGGGGCATCCGGCGCAGGGGTCGACCTCCACGGGTTTGGTCCTGTCGTCGATGCCCCCCCCCCATCCCCCCGCCCGCCCCCTTGGGGATTGGCAGTGAATTGAAGCTCGCGGTCTATCCGACCGAGGGCAACTGCGCCCATTCAATTGCACGCGCAGCCTGCCCATGAGCTATCTCACAAAGGTCGAGCATTTAGCCGGCGCGTCTGCCAGGCCACTGGGAGCGCTTCCCCTATTCGGAAAA